GTCTGTACATTCTATTTTTGTTTAAAGCAAATAAACATTTGTTATTATTATTTATTTATTTATTTTATATCAAGTTATTATATTTATCTTGGTGCTTACTCAGAACTGTTCTAAATATACAGGATTGTTTTTAAATAGCCCGAATTTTCAATACAATATTCCTTTAGTTAAAGCAAACAACTTTGTTCTACTTTCGAAAAATCATACTTTTTGTAAAATAAAATCAAATTCGAACTTTTTCAAAAAAGTAAATACCTGTAGGAAATGAAACTATTTTTCCGGATTTAAATCGCGTATATTTGTTTTTTCAAACAAACCGAAGACGTTTCGGGCCCTTTACAGGCCCCATGGTCACGGTTGACTGTGCTGCAAACCACCCTATTTTTTCACTATAGTTACAATAGTTATTAATTAAATACCTTATTTTTAATTTTACAAAGAAAACATTCCAATTTACGCTACATTAAGTTTTACAAATTATTTTATTGAATGAGTTTTTATTAAGTTCAATTGATTATTAATTAATAATAGAAATTAGAATAAACTAAAAGATATTAATTAATATTGCAGTCTTATGTCTGTTTGGGATTTTTCATCAGAGGAAATACTGGATCCGAAACTGGTGGTACGGAGAAACCATCTTCCCTGTTGAAATTAGGATGTTTTTTTTAATTTCAATGGCCTCTCGCAGCATCCTGGGTAAATAACGGACTTCTTTTGCAAGGACCTGGGGTTTGTCAAACTTCATTGAATGTGTAGGTTTGTCCATGATATGCTCGCAGACTGCAGACTTGTTTACGCGACGGTGTTTGACATCAGCTATATGTTCTTTGACGCGGGTACAAATACTTGCTTCGTTTGTCCAATATAAGAGAGACCGCACTCACAGTCAAGCTTGTGAGTATAAATATATAATAATTGGGTGGTTTGGATTCATATTATACATAACTGGTTGCAGACTGTACCACTTCAGTCAACCGTGACCATGGGACCTGTAAAGGGCCCTAAACGTCGGTTTGTTTGAAAAAACAAATATACGCGATTTAAATCAGGAAAAATCGCGAAAACCTAAGAACTCGATAAATACCTATAAATAATAAAACAAACGTGTCAAATGGGTATGTGATTTAGGTATAGAGTATTATGGAGTATAAGTATATTGTGTTACTTTGAAAATACTAGCAACCTCTCAGGGCTATGTTACTAACATCATAAGCGACAACTTTTGTTCCATGACTTTTAATAAAGGGTTTACTTTCGTACGAAAATAAATAGATTTAAATACATAGTTCTAAACGGTAAAAACTCGCTAACAATCGTTTTCCAACGTATTTGAAACTAATTTAACGATTGTTAATTTTCATTTTTGCTTATTTTGTAACAGTTTAAGTACACGTATCCTTTTGTCTCATGGAATTGTATGAGTACTTATGCCTATCTTTCTTACATCTGCTTAGAGGTGTAAGGGTGAGAGCCTGGTGCTCTATAACACAGGTTAATCCTAGTATGGACACCAGACTTTCACAAACGAATCTGAATTCAAAAACATGTGAGGACCATAGGCATATATAAGTATAAGTTTCTTTTGTGAAAGAATATATGTCTATTATATATACCTTATACTTACTATATTATATATACCTTACTACCAAATACCAGATCTAAAAAGTGTCAAATAGTGCAACAAAAACTTATAAGTTTATTTTTGGTAAATTTATTATGTTTTGTAAAGGTCATGGACCAAAATTTGTTGTTTAAGATGTTAGTAATATGATCCTGAGAGGATGACAATATTTATTTATTTATTTATTTATTTATTTATTTATAAGCAAACTTAACAGCTATTACATCTTCTATACAATTGTAGATTAAAAACTTATAAAGCCAATTATAAAGTTTGACCTTTTAACATTTATATTTACGTTACTTAAGCTATTTCTGAGATGTTATACAACAGTCTAATTTTCAATTAATACTAAGATTTGAAACAACAAAAGAGAAAAAAAAAAATGAAATACCAAATCTTTCAACTAAAATTCACATTAAAAAACAATCATATTATTCTTCAAGATTATACGACTTTAAATTGTCTTTTACAATCATTAGATCATTGTGTAATTGAATTTGTTTGTATGACGGCTTGTGTGTGTTTGTGTGTGTGTGTGTGTGTGTGTGTGTGGAGGGGTGATAGTGGGAAGTTTTGCTCTGTCTAGTTGTTACTTATAACTTATAACTTGGGGATGCTCTTTCAAAGCGTTAAGGAACTGATTGCGTGAAAGAAAGAAAATGTCGACGTCCCTAAATCTGTCCTCGTACGTGCGCACAATTCTGTGCAAAACTGAGTGTTTTGCATAATTTGAGCGGGCCGTACCCGCATATAAGGAGCGCATATGCCTGGTGCGACGAGTACAGGCGCACAAGCCAATGATAGCCGTCAACTCGGGGCAATCGAAGACAGAGTTGACTATATCAAATAAAAGCCTCATATCAGACATTAGACGCCTATCCTCGAGCGATTGCAGTCTAAAATATTGCAGTCTATCAATGTAGCTGTCGTGCCTCTCGTGATATAATTAAAATCATATTTTAAAAATAACCCAGTATAATCCTCGATGATATTCTGCTGTAGCTACTAAAGATTAACAAACACGCAGGCACCTGAGCAAAACCGAAAATCACAATTGTAATTAAATAGTAAAATACTCATTACTACACAACACGTAAGCCGCGGTAGCCTAGTGGTTTAATCCACCGCCTCTTAAACTGAAGCTGTGGGTTCGAATCCAGTCTCGCACTTATGTGTAATTTGAAATTTACGAGCTTTTTGGCGAAGGAAAACATCGTGTTGAAACTTGCACGTCGAAGAAGGTTCACAACCCTGGCAAAAGTTGTGAATATGGCCTAAACCAACGCCCGAGTCCCCTACCCATGCCCAGCAGTGGGATGTATAAATGGATTGATGATGATGACAGAACACATTATGCATAAATTAAAAACAGCCTACGTCCCGGGATTGCTTATGAAATTGTAATTGCAAAGTAAACACTTTTGGTGCCATCGTCGACAATGGTTACGACACCCTTCTTACACGAGAAGTATTATAATGAATAACTCACACCAATCAATTACAACTTACCAAGAATACCCTTGAAGTTCATATTGGCAAAATGCTGAGCATATTTGGGAATAATATCGAAGTTGACAGAATAATCATCGTTGAAAGGAGTAAATACAGGCAGGATCACGCCACTCACAGTTAGTCTCTGAAATAAGTAGATACGGTCAACTAAGCATCATTGTATCTGTACAACAACTAAGTTAATCTACATTTTCAAAAGTAACGAGTATTGTTCATATATTTTACATAAGACTTTTTTGTTAACCATACACAACATACCTAATCAAATAAAAAAACCTGTGTTTTACGTTTTGCTTTTACAAACCACACTTTAAAACGAAGTTATTTTGAAAGAATTACAATAATCCTTCTTAATTTAAAGTAAAATCAGCGATCACCCATTTCCCACAGCAAATGATCAGGTGATCAGTGACAGTTAATTATACTTATAAAAAAGTGGATAAGGTAGCTACTTACAGTTGTATTCCATGCTGCAGCTTTAGCGAAATTACTGTAATACAGTATAAAAATACCGATAAATATGTTTTTTCTGTACCACATTGTCAGTTGTCACTCAAATCTAAAGGCAAGAGTAAATACTTTACTTACTTACGAATTAAAATTATGTAACCAACAGTAACAACTGTATATATTTATGAATAGATAATGACAATATCAGATAACGTAGTAAATGTATCAAAATATCTCACAGTCTCAAATGAAAATGTAATTATATGCAATTCTTTATTTTACTTATTTCTTTCTGTAATGTTTGCTTTTAATCGGTGTAATGCACTATAAAATATTTCATTGTTATTGACAAATACGTACAAACCATAAGACAATGACAAATACCATTTCGAACTATATATACATAGTATAGACTCTTACACAATGTTGAATAGATTCAACTCACGTGAAAGACAGTAGTATGTTACCAAGACGCAGTCAACACACAAGCAAACTTTAAAAGAGTTAAAGAGCAACTAAGGTTTCTTTTAACTGTCACATAAAAGGCCGAGGCCTACTTCTTCTGTCATTGGCACAGGTGAACGTGTGAATAAAGATTAATTATAGGAAACTGGCAAGTATTGTCTTGCGATGAGCCCAACACTTAACTTACATTACTTATGCAATCTATCAAAGGTCCTACATTCTCAATTAGTTTGGTAAAATATCTTTTTATTAGCCTGCAATAGTTTCCCACTACCGAGCAGAGGCCTTGTAATTATGATTGGTAAAATTACGAAAGCCACTTAAGGTAATTAATTCATACGAATCATAGTGGTATAATAAAACCACATCGATGACTTTCTAGAATAGTGGCCTATTTCAAAATCAACTAATTCATCAGGAAGATGTTAGATAGATAGATCATCCCAATTTTGTCATATGATTACTCTAACCAATTAAAAGCTTGGAACCCAATCACAATAAAATTGTACATTTTCTGAATAAATCTCAGTAATAGATAAAAAAGAATCAATTTTGGATTGGACTACTGTTCTTGAAAAGCAGCGACATGTGATCATACCTTAGAATAATAACGCATAGAATGATAGTTTCATATCAAACGAACTGTCACAAGTGAGGCAAAAATCAAATTCATGTAGGCTAGTTTTAGTAGTAGGTTAATTTTCGGTTTTAGTGAATATTTATATAAAAATACAAGTTGAAACGCGTTACTTCCTTGTGAAATGTGATGTTAGTATCTATTTTATGTTTGTCTGACGTATTTTTACACTCATTTACCGCACATTTTGTCATTTTTCGCTAAAATTCTTGATCTGTTCGCGGTGCAAGTGACCTTGAGCACTGAAGGCCCGCCCGCTCGTGTACGCCCTTTTGGCGCGCTTCAATTTGCCTCACTTAGCGTGTGCGAACTAGGTTTCTATGCGTTATTATTCTAAGGATCATACGTCAAAAGTACTTATAATGAAAGTCGTAAACGTATTATGAACTTCATGAAACAAATTACGTATATAATGTTACAACACTCCTATTTGAGCATAAAAAGTTATCTCATGACCTCTCTCCACCAAGGGTGCCAATTCTAGTTAACACTATTTAATTCAAGATTGTTTAATTTGCCTCATACTAACATTCATTTGCCACAAGTTCTCATTGTTTTGCCATTTTTTATAAACCTACTAAGTGTATATCTTTTCTTTATTTCTTTATGCATACAATACGCATTCTCTTGCAAAATTTAATATTAAATTACAGTGGCATTGTACTGTGACTGAACACCGGTTTAATATTTTGTTACCAATCAACAAAGGCAAGTAAACATTTCGTAGTACGATACTGATTGAAATAGTATGGAAGATGTATAGATTATAAGCTTTTCGTTATCTTCAAGTGTCCCTTGTTTCTTCTTCTGATCGTATCAATGGAGTACACCGCGCCAACCGCGTCACCAGTTAATCCTCAAGAGTGCAGGTGTTAAGGCACAGAGGGTACGATGTGAAAATCCCACAAATAAATTTCATTTCACAAACAATCCAGGGAATCTACTCCCATTCTCCATCCTATATCCATGCAAAACAATTACTGACAAATTTTAATAAGTAATACTCGACCAAATTACCAAACGCATGATGTGAATGTAGCTTCATACGTGACATTGCTTTTTTATTTAGTCGAGTATTATTTATTCAAAACCGGAACCAGTAATGTTGATATTACTGCTTGGCGGCATAACTAGGTAAGGTGGCAGTACTTCCCTGGACGAACTCTTTCACAAGGAGCTCTACTGCTACTGTGTACGAAGCCTATTCTAAAAATTCCAGATCTTCTATCAGATCAGTGAGCTTAATAGATAATGCCTTAAAAAAATATTACGTTAGTGAAAAGAAGACAATTAAAGAGATATAATAACTATGTACACCATTTATATTATAAGTACAAAACCTAATATATATCGTTGTTTCTAACAGTATAAGTAGATTATAAAACACTTTGGTAAACGCTATAAACTGATTTTTCCGTATAAACTATGCATATATAGGTATTTTTAACATATTATATCCTTAAAAAACCGGAAGTCTCTTTCAGTCTGTTTACGTGTTCGGTTACAATTAGTTTGAACGGAATTGGTTTCCGTGACGGAATTGTTTTTTCCACTTTGAAGGTTCCTGTTCACTCCTGACTTCGATCACGATTATCGTACTTTACGCTATTGTTTAAGTGTCCTTTATTTCTTAATGCCTTGATCATTTCACTCTCATTTACATATTTATTAACAATTTTGTCACTTTGTCTTTAATAGTGTCATTATGACAACTTGTTACTGCAGAGATAATAACAACATGCGACAGTATAACTTTTACATAGAAAATATGTAAATATACTAGCAAATTTTAATAGTAATCCTCATCATAATTATCGTAGTACGTACTGCTCGTTCTATTAGCTATGAGACCCTGCTGTATCCTACTGCCTAGGTCTGGATGGATTATGGTAAACAACTTCACCGCTCTCTCCTGAAGGAACTTTGCTGCGGGCCCAATACTATACAATATATTCTCCACCAAACGACTTCTCTCCTGTTTCGTCATCTCATTAACGTACAACTCTCTAGCTTGAGCAAAATTATTCGGGTCATCCTGATATATCTCTGTGAGTTCAACCCTGTTCTTATCTTTATACGCTTCTGGTCCATTATAGGAATTGGGATAATAATTGGGGATATCTTTCTCGTTGTCTTTCACTGGTGGTTCGCCGTCACGGTTATAGGTTAATACAGTGGCCTGTACTGGACAATTCACAGGTATTTTGTTGAAGTTAGCTCCCAACCTGTACAGCTGAGCATCTCTGTAAGCAAACCTTCGAGCTTCAAAAACTTTATCAGGCCCGCCAAGTATACCTGGCACCAAATTCGCAGGACTGAAAGCCAACTGTTCAATTTCAGCAAAATAATTTATAGGGTTCTTGTTTAAAACAAACTTTCCTACAGGTCTTAAAGGATAGCGATCCAAAGGTAACACCCTTGTTACATCAAAGACATCAAATCCTGCTTTCTTGACATCTTCCAGTGACAAAACTTGTATGCTAGCAGTCCAGCTCGGAAAATCTCCATTTCCAATTGCATTATACAAATCTCTTGTTGCATAGTCCGGATCTACACCGGCAATCTTCCTTGCATCTTTTGAACGTAGATTTTTGATACCAGCATCAGGATAAAAATGAAATCTAATAAAGTGTTTATCACCTTTTTCATTAACTACTTCATAAGTATGGATCCCAAATCCAGGCATATGTCTGTACCCATCCGGAATACCACGATCCCCAAAGACAAGTAAAAACATGTGAAGACTTTCTGGGCGGAGAGTTAGAAAATCCCAAAGCATGTTCCCATCAATTAAGTTAGTTGCTGGGTTTCGTTTTTGGGCTCTTACGAAAGTAGGGAACAGTAGAGGATCTTTATAGACATACATTGGAGTGTTAAATCCGACAATGTCGAAATTTCCATCTTCAGTATAGAATTTTAGAGCAAAACCTCGAGCGTCCCTGGAAGTATCAATGCCACCTCTTTCGACTACAACTGGTGAGAATCTGGCAGCGATTGGTGTCTTCTCTCCAACTCGACTGAATACTTTAGCCGTGCAAATGTCAGATATATCGTGAGTAACTTCAAAGTATCCAAACGCTCCCCCAGCTTTAGCGTGAACCAGTCTTTCAGGTATTCTTTCTCGAACTAGATGAGTCATAGTGTCCATGAAATATTCATTAAATATAAGACGAGCATTGAGTGTGTTTGTGGCATCTTTATATTCTATCGGTGCTCCGGCGCTGGTTGTCATAACGCCGATGGGACCCTGGAAAATATGCATTGATATGTATATCGGAGGTAATTAGACGGTTCACTTTTATTACTTCTTTAGTTACAATAACGCCTATTCTTACATTATAACATTATAATACAGAAAAACGTATAAGTTTTTCTATTCGAACTTTCCCCGTACCATAAATTTTACATTTAGTCTACTGCTGATCCAACAGATACAATTAGCCTCGAGCAAACTATTCATTGTTTAAACAAAAAAGTAGATCAATGAACTCACTGCACATTGGTGCCAAGCGGCTTTTTGTATGCATTAACTAAGACGAAACGGAACTGTTTATGTATTTCATGGAAATTAACACGTAATAATTAAAACTCAAACCATTCGGCTGCCACGGCTTTTTAAGTTATATAAAATGAAAATCTACCAAAAATGCTTGTTGGAAATGAAACTATTTTTTCGGATGTAAAATCGCACGTTACAAGTCCCAGCAATCACGAGAACCCAAAGACTCGATAGAGATATTGTATTATTATTTATTCTCTCAAAATAAAATTTCTATGGCATATTTACTTGACAAACTAAGTTTGGTATCTTAATTTTGTTATAGTTTGTAAATAAATACATTTGTACGCATTTATCATTTAGGTTCCATTTTTTTTTATTAATATATATTAGATATATATATTAGGTTAATGAGTTATTATATTATTGTTTATAACCATTATGATAAACATTATGAGCGATAGGTTTCATGCCGTAAGTTTCATGCGTCTTCATTGCGGTTATAAATGAATACAAACCATTGACTGAAAAATCGATGGATGGATGATCGTGTAATTAAATTAATTATATAGGTTCATGAGTATTTCTCAAAAGATTAAAACTAAAACCTAAAAGTTCTTACCGAGGTTTTCTGCTTAAAACTCAAAATTTGTTGTCCAGCTGGATCATTTTGAATTTTACCTGCAGCAAGCGCAATCACAGCCAGCAGCACCCACATTTTAAATATCAACTGCCTGACTCTAACAGCTAAAGCCTACTATATAAATAACATTGAATAATTAGTCTTATCTAGAACTATAATAAATAATTCGCGATCATCGACGAAGCAAACAGTTTCCTTCCACTTCTCGACACTTTATAATACAATCGTGACCTTGCTCTGTATGCCACGGTTTCTCAAACATTGGAAAAAATATTGATCAATTTTCTGAATGCACTGTTCAGCCTTTGATAACGGAAATAGACCAACTTACAAGTTGTTGTCGTTGTTAAACTGAGTGAAAGGTGGTCCTAGAGTAGGGGGAACCGTTACATTACTGCGTTATTTGCATACTTGTCAATGGCGAAGGGTGGAAGGTGATATTCAAAGACGGCAGTAGCATTAGAGTTCCTTGTGAAAGAGTTCGTCCAGGGAAGTACTGCCACCTTACCTATTTCTGCCGCTAAGCAGTAATGTCAAGATTACTGTGTTCCGGCTTTAAAGGGTAAGGGTGCTGGTGAAATTACAGGCATATGGGAGTTATCAACGCATGTCTCAAGGTTACAGCGCAGTGGTAGTTCCGCTGAGATCTTTGCGATTTAAATCTCTGAGTGGCGCTGCAACTGTTACGGACAGACACGTAGCTTAAAACGCTATGCAAGTTATTTTCCGTTCAAATTCAAATTCAAATTCAAACTAATCTTTATTTCATAGGTAAGCATTATTACACTTGAAATCGTCACAATGGTTAAACTCTACCGCTCATTCGTAAGGCAGATTCCCCCGAGAAGAATGAGCAAGAAACTCTAGGGGTTGCTCTTTGTAAATAACATTTACAATATTTTTTTTTTTATTTGAAACATCAGAGATCGAGACTACCTCCATGAGCTAAACGGGTTACTACCACGGATTTTTGTCATCCAAGTACGCAGAAGTTGTATAATAACCTTTAGTATAAAGTTTTTGTTTCACTATAGTTTTAAACCTCGTGAAAGGCAAATTTTGTATATCAACCGGAATCTTGTTATTATACATTGCCCCTTAAATGATTTTTTGACTTTGTGAAGACGACTATCAAGAAAAGCTAGTTTATTTCTATTCCTCGTATTAATGTTATGTCTGTCACTCATATATACATATATAATACTCACTACTAAGTTAGAGCACAAATTCTTTAAGAAACTTATCGTATTATACAGACCCTTCCACTACTAGAAGTTCTTCAGGTAAGAGTTGTTCATATAGACGGCTAAAAAATTTCACCCTGCATGCATTTCTGCTCTCCTTGTCATAACTAACGCGATTGCATCTTGGTAACTTTCGAGGTATTGGCACATGAAGATTTTTCTTCGATAAATGTCATCGATTACGCTGATTTTGCATAATAATAAAACTGTAACTAAATAACATTTAAAAAAAACCGTTTATAGGGTGTTCTAGCAGCTTGATTTTGATTGCCTCCCCCGAATTAATAATTGCAATTCACAACTGGCCGATCCGAAACTTTTTACATTTCAAATCGAAACAATAGTTGATTTAACTCACAAACTAGGAAGTTATAGTAGGAATCAGGTTCATCTTCTCTGTCGGAAACCCACCTGATTTCGAGACTTTAGAGATTCTGATATATAATTAAAATCAGCCTGTTGATCTCGTGTCGATGATTCCTGATATTTTAATAACTTTATTTCGTTAAAAATTTCGATTACGTTTGTTGTGATAAGGAGAGCAGATTTGTACTCTATTAGTTGGGAGTTTGCGTGATTCGTTAGCAGAACGACTTCTATATCTGGGGGTCTACTATCATTCTCTGTCCGACATCCGCCCGTCCAAAACAATTACTATCAAATAAGTCGTACTCTATCAAGTTAAAACACAATGTCAAGTACGAACCTTCATTCGCATCATACGTCTCTTAATATGGTCGAGTATTGCCAATTTGTTGCTTCGGGCATCAGGTGTCGTAATATTATATACACACAATATAAATTCTATTTATGTTGCTAATTTCTGTATGTAAAAATCGTTCATCTCAAACCTTGTAATAAATAGCATTGGGCCGGTGGCCATAGACCTAAGTTAATTTCTGTTTTAATTCATATAAAGCATATTCGAGTCCAGCAATACTATGAAAACTATTGTTTTTATTGTTGTAATGATAGATTACTGATCACGTTCCATTGCGTACATAAATACTTACGGTGTACTTTTGCCAGCAAAAAACAAATTATCACAGAAATAAACGAAAGCGACAGTATTTGAAAGTTTTACAAATTGCATGTACCTATACAAAAACAAGTTTTATTAAGTATCTAAATTTAACTTTATCGTACTTTATCTTGCCAGCTTGATAGTGTAATTACGTGTGGTAATTGCCTATATTACTTAATTATTATCCGGTAATGAGTCTAATTTTGATCAAACAAAAAAGTACGTATAATTATTTTACTGTTACGCTCAAATGATGCTTTGTTGTGAAACATACGAACACGAAACTGCTAAAGCATAAAAATTAATACACTCTTCACAGTTTCATATAATTTGTACGTAATCAATTACTCGTACTCTGGATATGAGATTACAAAACTAACGAAAAAGAACCTGTCCGCAGTGTCCCGAGTAAAGAGTACTCCAAGTTTGACTCTTAAACAAACGCAAATTCAAATAATTTTATTTCAAAAGTAGATTACTCTACTACTCACTGGTTGCTCTTTGTACATTGGGCGCACTATAAGTTTCCGGAACTGGCCACTTACATAGACAATATTTAAAAATGTAATTACAACATTTGAAAATGGAACTCTTTGGCTGTAGAATACAGTTTGTTTCATCTTACTGTCACTTGTTTTTACATTGTGGCGTCATTTTAGAAATTGGTTGTCTACATCACCATGGATTTAACTCGCGAAAATTTTCGTAGTATGATTTTCTAAGACATTAAGTGTAATTTAACAGCTCAGCGGAGCTTCGCTCGGCTTTAAACTGCTTTTGGCGATGAAGCGCCATGCAAGACGACTATTTATAGCTGGTTTGCAGAATTCAAACGCGGTCGTGAGAATCTCAGTGAGGAATTTCATGATGGTCGCCCGTCCACTGCTGTGAACAACAAAATCATCGATGCTGTACGCCGTATGATCAAAACAGAGAGGCATGTAACATACTATGAGATTTGGGCATCTTTAGGCATAGGCATGAGTCAAATACTACACAAACATTTGGGTGTGAAGAAGCTGGGCTCTCGGTGGTTCCCACACAATTTGACTGAGGCTCAAAAAACTTCAAGTCAAAACGTCAAGTTTGGTGTGGGACATAGTAGCAGGTGACGAAACATGAATTTATAGTTACGGTCCCAAAACAAATCAGCAATCGAGCGGGTCTTTCGAGATGAGCCGAAACCAACCAAAGCGGCGCGCGTGCAAAGTGCCTCTAAACGGATGATTGCTTCTTTTTTAATAAAACTGGACACGTGATTACTGTTGCTTTGGAGAATAGTTGTACCCTGAATAGTGATTGGTACACGACCATTTATTTGCCGGCAGTTATTGACAAACTACGTAAAAATAACCATAAACGCCGTATTATCTTGTACCACGATAATGCTAATTCTCACACGGCCAGACAGACAAATGAATTTTTGAAGGTGAACAACATTGACCTTTTGAGTCATCCCGCGTACAGTCCCGACCTTGTGACTTGTGTGACCTTGTGACTTTTATTTATTTCCAAAAATTAAGAACCAGTTACGAAGAGGCTGTCGAAGAGTATGAAAAATATGTTTCAGAGATTGTCACGGAGGAGTGGCATAATGTTTTCAAAATTGGTTCATTCGTATGAAAAAGTGCGTTAACGCTAACGGAAAATATTTTGAGAAACAATAAATCCATTTCTGACCATTAATAGTGTTTTTTCTTATTCATTCCGGAAACTTATAGTGCGCCTCACGTAAATAAACATTTGTACGCATTACTATTGGAACGATCCAAATTCTTAAATGACCAGCTTCACGTGCTTTTGATTATATTTCCAATATAAACTATTATAATATATTTTTCCAATGTAAACTAATACTTCCCTTATTTTTTTCTATCTTCTAAGACTAATACCATGCAATAAAAGTAAAAATCATTATAAAAGTAATTCTTTGTAAATTCTGCATTATTAGGTTGCGTGCTATGAAATGTAAACGTTCACACGTTTTCGCATATATGTAAATATTACATATTTCAAAAATACGGACATTGTGTTCAAACATATCTACCATTTCAAAATATATATATATATTTTTATTTCAGAGAAAAGTAAACCAACTAAAATACGTGAAAAACATACAATCTGGTGATTTTTTTTACATACATGATGGAACGGATCGACCGATAAAGCCGAAAACTGTGAAGAGACATAAATATGTACTTAATTGTAATGAAAATTTTTTCGTCTAAGTGTAATAGTTTCTGAGTTATTCAATGACAAAGATTTGCTTGAAATATCTTTGTAGTCTTAAAATCATTAGCTGTTTGGAGGCGAAACTCAATACTCAAGGCAAAAACTTTTGTACTTTTAATAGGTCATTGACATCCAACGCTGTTCAGCAAATACCAAATAACCCCATTGTAATGGATATGAATTTAATATATTTTTATAGTTTCAGGAAAAAAAGACAATGAAATAGGTACAGTACGTACATACCGCATCGTTTTATTAAATACAATATTTTCGTTCCCGTAGTTAAACTCCTAGATGCCAAGCCATCATAAAAATGTTTTTATCATCTGTGATTTATAAAATAAACGAAAAAAAAGAGAAGCGTCAAATCGACAAATCGTCAATAAATTAAAAAATCCACGTTATTAACCTTTAGTTTCCTGCTTTATTAAAATAAATATTAAAATGCTAAATCCTTGAGTTGTAAGCCGTATTTCGATAGTCGTAATAACAGTTGCTAGTGGCGGGAGAAAAGTAACCAAACATGGCAAGGTCGCCGAAGGATGATCCCATATACAATGACATGCAGTGGAACTACCGAGCGGAGGCAGCTGAAAACTGCGCACCTGGCGTCTTGAATGAGAGGAAACAGCCGCCGATCTCATCAAACAGCGGCGTCATGAATGATAACAGCGTGTACACAAACGCCAATTTTCCTAATGATGTTTATTTAGGGAAACATGCGTTCAATGTGCAAGCGTGCGACACAGCTGCCACCGGAGATGATAAGGTTCCCTTTAATAACATGCCGAACGTGAACAGAGTGAACCGGCAGAACTTCGGCAACGCAATGCTCAACCTCGGCAACGGACAGCTCGTGCGGGTGTTCTACGACGAGAACAACCAGCAGCTCATCTTCCCTGTGTCTGAGCAGTACGACCCCTTCAACCATAACCAATGGCTGCGCGACATGCCTCTGCAATCACCCCAGCCTTCACACATGTTCACCCTTAACCAAGACTACAGCATGAACAATAATGTCCATGTGCAACCTCCTACTGCTATTCCAAACAACACTTTCAACCAAGACAACTCTCAAAATGTCCCAACATCTAACTTTTTGAAGGAAGTGCTTGGAAATTGGGAGCCTAATTCTAGTGGAACTTATTCACCATTTGGACAAAACTATCCATTAAACCACCCCGATGCCCCAAGCTTCAACTTGCATCCTACACCTGTGATTGATCCTATCAATCCAGTGTTGAAGCCTGAAAATTCTCCAAAGAGAAATGAGAACAGCCCTCTAGCTGACACAAGCAACAAGAAACGCATAGTCGCTGAAGTGAAACCTATGCGCCCCACTTACTCTGATGTACTAGCCAAAAATATGAAGAACAACACACAGAGTGAAGCTGCCCGTAAAGCTAAGCCTCAGAATTTTGAGACTAAACCTGTGAGTAATAAGACCAGTAAACCAGAGAAGCCGTTCACCAATCTAAAGCATGATGAAAGCAAAACTAAAAGTGAAAAGAAGCTGCACACAAACACCATATCATCTGGCAGTGAATCTGGGGACATCAACATTGATGACATTGATAAGCACCAGAAGCCGAGCAAAAAAACCAAAAATAGAAAAAGCAATATATCACGTAAGTGGTCCTCTCTTGATGATATTGCTAATGAGGAGGAAATTGGGTACACTAGTAATGAGAGTCAGTTCGTCTTCATTGAGACACATGCAGAAAAACCATTGAAAAAGGAAAAAAAATGTGACGGTAACAAATCAAAGAGCTTTGATAAAAGTTCTACATTGGAAGACGATTTTAAGTTAGATGATGAAGACCACCAATCCCAATTTGTATATCAAGATGGGCAAGCAGAGACGAAATCTAGGCGGAAAAAAGATCGTAACCATCACAAGGCTGCCAAACCATCTCAGGATAAGAAGAAGGTGGCTCAAACTAAATTTAGGAGGAATAAACCTGGCTACATTGGGCTTGCACAGAACTATTTTGAGCACTGGGTAGAAGTGACTTGGAAGGCAGTCATCTGGTTCTTTTACTTGCTGTCAGATATCTGTCGAATGAGTGCACATCTTACGTTTGACCTGTAAGTGTTCCTAATGCCAATTCTGTAAAATTTCTGTTATATATTTTATTGCATCAGGCCTATACTTATAATGATATCAAATGCTATTTTCCTTATGGATTTTATTAGTTCGTCCATGATTTTATTATATACATTTGCCTCAACACTTGCTTGTTTTCCTTTTTTTGCAAACTAAGAAATCTAAATCAATTTTACATTCAGTTTTATAGGTTTTGTCTGTATGCTTTATAATGCATGTTGTAGGACAAACTTGAGTCTGTATAAATCAAATAAAAAGTAAGAAACTCAAAAACGTACTTATAGCTACCGAACTGACTGGTAATCCCCATTATTTTCATTATTGAACTAGAAACACAATGATGTTAGAAAGATTTAACATTAATTTATATTCAACTTTTGCATATACAAACTGCATTTTGACAATTGTTGATAAACATATCAAAAGTCATTTGTTTACATAATTTTTAGTTCTAGTGTTGTTTGCATAATTTTTAGCATAACTATATAGCAAAACAGTCATAAAGATAAATTGCAAGTACATAAAAAGTTGGACAAAAAATTTAAGACTTATGTGTACAATTTTGCCCCTCAGATGTACATCGGTGTTCACGCAAACATATGTGAGCTCGCAGGCAGTTTGGCGCAGTAGCAAGGAATATCTATCAAAGATAACACATAACAAATATCTGCAATACATAGACAGAAAGTTTGGACACACTCGCTTCGGATTTTGGAGAAAAGTTAAATGGTTTAAAAAAGGTATAAGGCTTACTATTATCTTATTGTTAAGACTTAACTGTAGGCAATAAATTTATAGCTTCATAACATTATCAACCTCAATCTTCGAAAAACAAATTTACACACATTAGAGAAGATTATGGCTATAGATAACTCTCTGTACAATGATTTGGTAGCAGTAGAAATTCTTTTGAAAATGTTTATTCAGGAAAGTAATGCCATCATACCTATTTCTGTTATCAAGCAGTAACTTGAGCATTACTGCTTTCCAGTTTTGAATAGTAAGGGTGCTGGTGAAACTACAAGCACTTAAGATTTGCCAACTTTTTTTTATGCATATAGTTTCAGGTGGTGATAAGAACAAGTCGTGCGCCTGCTGGTCAACGACACGCTTATCTATAGTTGCAGTGTCACCCAAGGCTTTAAATCGCAAAGAACTTAGGGGCACTGCCGCTGCGCCTGCCACACTAGGACATAAGTTGACAAGTCCCATGTGCCTGTAATTTCACCCTTACTCTAACCCTCAAAGTTAAAAATATATAAAAAATATAGAATGCAGAATCCAATTTTCACTAACCAAATGATAATAGCTTGTGAATACCATCATGTTATGTAATACCATCGAGTATATAACCAGCAATAGAGACGAAATGAGGGCCGCCCATCCCTGGCAACTCATCAGGTAAATGAGCCTAATATCCCTTTTAAATATCAATTCTCATTTGTGCTGAATCACAAATTAGAAAACTGGTAAATAGTACAGCGCCAACAACTGACCTGTGTGTACGTCTCCATATATTCCAAAAATATTCCGTATTTATTGTAATAAAGATAAAAGAGATAATATATCTAACAATGGTTCCATTGGGTAGTGTGGACAAAACAGCAAAACATCTAATTACAAAACAAATGGAACCACATTTCAATGGTAATTAAATATGTAATTTTGCAATTTCCGTCCATTATAGCAAAGCTCAAGTTGAACTGGTCGATTTGAAGTGAAACAATTGACGGCTGCCGTCAATTGTTTTGAATTCGGACTGGCCAATCGGAGCGCAGTTGTCACAGTAATGATATGGCAGAATAGTTTTCAAACAAATTAAATGACATTTCATCTCTGTTTCTGGTTATATACTTGATGTGTAATACACATATTTAATGGTTTCTTTCTATTAATTTATTTTGCGATTAAAGTGCTTTTTAATCTTAAAAATAATTCAATCATGCATAGCAAATGTGCCTTATGTATAATAACAAAAGAAAAAAACAAAAATTATTAAATGGCTTTTATTGTTTACAGAAGCAGAGGTAGATAATGGAAGCGATTCAACAAAGCTAAATGCCAACATTCCCTTGCCGGCGACAGGGGAAGAAGCTATGAAACGTCTTCTGGCTTGCAAAGGGAAAGATCCTTATAGGTTTGTTATCCAGGTTTTAATACATAACATCACATACATTTTCCATTGGTGTAGGCAGGGTATGTTTGCTATATTCCTGTCATACTACTTTCACTTCTATGTGCGATAGTAATTTGATAGGTATGTTATTTATTAACCATTTCTAGTATTAGTTACCTCATATATTTGATATAAACCAACATTATATGAACGAAATTGAGAGTTCAATTGTGTTGTATGAATTTTCAGTTTCAAAATGCACCTTAATGTTAATAGATTGATCGGGGATAGTGCAAATCCGCGTATGTAGTATTGGTAAAAAGCACGTATCAGCACCAAACCGAATTTCACAGGAGAGGGCTTAACTTTTGTTATTTCAATTGCTACGACTCTCATTTTTGCACAATAAGCATTAATTTATGTTATCTACGGATGGATAACAATAGATTCCCGTAAATCACGCTAATTTTGTTGCCACGAAATTTACAGGGATTTGACCTGGTGACTAAATTACCTAAATGGGGACTCATAATCAAATGCTAGTTACCCGTAATTGCACCCGTCGTGATGTTTATTAAATGTTCAGATAATTTTTAATTCCTTGACTACTCAGATCGTTGCTGGTGACTGTACCACTATGTCAGCCTGTCCACTATTAACAGCTTGTTTTAATAAAACGCCTGCCAATTTTCTCCAGCGACGTAATCCGACTCATAGCGGTTTCCTAAGCTCGTACAAAATACCAATATAACACATACTATCTCTTTCATTGCAATGACGAAAACCCTTTCGGTACAACCCGTCTCTTTCTTTCGTCGCTATACTCACCGTGTGGTCTTTTTGAAGTCGCGACACCTGGAATATTTTTATTTTCATTTTTAATAGTCTATAAGACCTCATATGGCTTTTAGTTATGCGGAAGCATAACAGTGAAAGTGTTTAGTCAATCACTTTGGCAAAAAATATATAGTAAAATTCAGGATATACACTGATTACCTACGGTAGAAAAAAATAACAACCATACCCATTGACTTATAAATAAATGGACGACGGGTCTAATACAAAAACCACGATAACAATGTCCCAAGTTAACCTATTTAAACGTAGTGACATGTAAAGGAATATGAAAAAGCTAAAACGTTGAATTTAAATTGTAATGTCATCGCAGTACTGTCTAATTTTACTTGCTTCGCTGTCAGTCGAACAAACGAAGACTAAAGCGTGAATGACGCTCTGTATACGACTTTAACGCCCTATGAGTTCGGACACTTTTTAGCGCGGACCCGACTTCCATATAACTGTAAGTCAATGACCATACCTCAAAACTTTACAAGAAAAGTTCAATAGGTACTTTACATATGCTAATGATTTATTTTATATCAACTGAACGAAATAGAAAACGGATGAGTCGATTTACTCTAGATCTCATGATGTTAAAGGCGCATTTATTCGATATGAATTTCATCGCGCCCACCTCGCGCGGCCTCCGCTCAGTTACCACCCCTTCATGTACATTAATGACGAATCTGAATTCTATTTACTAGGCGACAACATTTATATTCCTCTGAAGAAACCTACCGCCGCCCGGCCGCCGCGCGGCTTTCTATTCTATATCTATCTAGATTTCTTCACCACGCGGTAGATTTCTTCAGAGGAATTTAAATGTTGTTGCCTAGTACATAGAATTTAGATTCATCATTAATGTACATGAAGGCGTGCTAACTGAACGGCGGCTGCGCGGGGTGAGCGCGATGAAATTCGTGTCTATTAAATGCGCCCTTAACATCATGAGATCTAGAGTAAATCTGCTCATCCGAAGAACAGAGTCCAATGTGATTTTATAGCGAAAAGGGAATAAGTACGTTACGAGAATAATTTCGATATTCAAGCTAAGGCCTATGTAAATGAGTTTTGGAAATTTTATATATCTTATTTCGATCGATCTGGCATGCACAGCGAAGAAGAAGGAACGAAACGTACTATGTCCTGAGAACAAGTAGTCTTGCACATAGATCTTTGTTCTACGGATGAGTCGAAATGTCGAAAATAATATTTATAGAAAAAAAACACCAGTAATAATGTTGTACCAGGGCGTTAAGATAATAATAATAACTTTATTGATATCCATTACAAATACCATAGAAATAATTGCTATAGTAATTAGTTATTGATTAATTGCTGACCAGACAGGCAAAATCCAGACCCCACAAAAGGATTTAACTTGTGTTAGCAAATAGTAGGTACTGTTGCCGCCAACGCGGACAACCATCGATCGAAAATTAACTCTGTAATCCCAAAACTAGTACACAAATACGATACTATAATTATTAACCAGACTCTGAAATGCCAAGAACATGTTCATTCAAGTTTTAAGACTTAAATTCAACTATACGCTTGCGTTAAGAACGGTCCAAAGTGTAAATTGTACCATTTTCAACACGTAATTTTCCTTTACAAAATCGTATACTTTTTCTTTTGGGTTTCAAATGTACATTATGTATATTTATACATTTTTTTTATATAATACCAAGTGGCGGGACGAACAAGTCGTGGACCTGATGGTAAGCGACATGCCTGTCCATAACAGTTGCACTGTGCCACTCAAAACTATAAACGCAAAGTTCGGAGGGGCACTGTCATTGCACCCGTCACCCTGAGACATAAGTTGACAAGTCCCATGGGCCTGTAATGTCACTTAAACACACAATTAAATTAAACCACGACAATAATAAAAACAATTACATTATTTCTAATATTTTTCATTCATAGATATATATTATTACATAACTTTATTGGCAGTACTAAAAATGCTGATATGATAGATATGGGATTATAGCGACTTATCCTATCTCTGTATTGCTCGAACATGACATAAAAGAATCCCCCCTGTTAATACCGCAACCTAATTTAAACAGTTTTGATATTGTTCCTAAACAAAACGAGGCGGGAGCAATAGAGTGCTTTACGCACACTCTGTCGCGCGTGATTTTATTTATTTATTAATTTTGTTTAGATACAATAATCGTACGCGATTGAGCGTGCGTGTAAAGATGTTGGAAGGAAAAGGGAAAGACTGCGCGGTTGTACTCGTTAGGCTCTATTTATATTGCTGCGAACGGGAATGGAAGCGAACCATAAAGTTCATTATCCTATATCATTATCATGCTATACCCAAAAACACGTATTTCTTATTTTCGATGAATTTAGGTATAACATGTTAATACAATAATGTTATACCCATTGTGGCCATGGTGGCCTTATTCAGGCCAGCCTTTTAACAACAGAACAGCAATCAACATATTGTCTTCACCACAAAATACAGCTAAGAGACAAGACTAATAGAAAAGACATTCTTATTCGCAATTGGCGTAAATTCCTATTCTCTTAGACGTTAGATCAAAACAACCGACAATTTTTCCCGTACGCGCATTATTACACACTCGTTTAAAGTTAGCAGTCTAATTAGCAGAGTATCATGTTGACTCCCAGAGTTAATTACATCGCAGTTATTTATTAAAATTAGCTATGAATTAACTGTTTACAGGGCTGACAACAGTATCTGTTATTCAGAGCCTGGTGTATATAATATTGGCGTAATGTTTAAGAGAAACTTATTTTTAGTATAGTACTTGACATTTCGATCAGTATGATGTATATTTTTTATTAGTTATATTCATAAACATAAAATAAATTATGGGACAATTAATGCATAATACTGATTTTTTGTTTTGTGTGCAGTCAGACCTAAGATAAGAGCTGTGGGTCTCTGGATAGTTTAATTTACAATACATTTATTTGTGAAAACAAGTTGTATAGAAGTTGACATGTACAACATAAGTTTTTTAAAAATAATATCAATAATATCACATAAGCGTACACACATGGATTTCATAAATGAGTAAGTAATTAAAACACGGTGATAGTTAAAACGGCATAACAACTAAATTGAGATTTTTTTTACGAAAAAACATTGCAATCAGATCTGAGCTAGGTGCTGTGGTTCTCGAGATCGAGGACTGGTGCCGGTATCCAGCGTAGACAGTAACACACCCTTATTATTTTTAATTGAAATCTACCCTAAAGGTTAACTCACGTTTTAAGTCGAATTTTCGCTCGACGTGTTTCGGACCAGTCCGTGGAGTTCATCTACGGAACTACTGCCATCTTACCTATTTCTACCACCAAGCAGTAATATGAGCATTATTGCATTTCGCTTTGAAAGCGTAAGGTGCAGGTGAAATTACAGGCACATGGGACTTGTCAACTTATGTCTCAGGGTGACGGGCGCAGTGGCAGCGCCCTTGAGATCTTTGCGATTTAAACTCCGATTGGCACTGCAACTGTTATGGACAGGCGTGTAGTTTACCATCAGGCGCACGACTTGTTCGTCCCGTCACTTGATATTGTAAAAAAATAAAAGTAAACATTTATCTAAATATCAACAACTGATGAAGCTTTAACCTAAAACAGTAAATAAATCACCCCAATCTATAATAGTATTTGAATACTTTGAATAACTATGTCCCAGGAACGCGACAACATTTAGTGATATAGTATAATTTTCTGTTTGTGTTGAAATTCTCTGTCAATTTATCAAGGGTTGATTTTCAAAATTGACAGGTAAGACACAAAAGTGAGATGGCCTTTCTAATTGTGAACAGTATACTGGGTGTGAGCGTGACATGCACAGACGAGGAGATAAAGCGGTACTACCGGCGGCAGGCGTTCCTTGTGCATCCTGATAAGAACCAACAGCCAGGCGCTGAGGAAGCCTTTAAGATCCTGCAGCACGCTTTCGACCTCATCGGCGAGCCGGTAAGTTATGAATTTTGTAGAGTTAAAAAGTTTTAGAGCTCCTTGAGAAAGAGTTCGTCCAGGGAAGGACTGCCACCTTACATTCTGCCGCCAGAACAACTGTTCTAAATTCAGTTTTAAAACTTAATTGTAACCAAAATGGAATTTTAAAACAAGACCTAAATATTTTAAAACCTAAAACATGCTAATCTTGAAAAGATTTTCGAAATTTCGCTTGTACCCTTTCTACAAAACATCGACGATGTGAGTAGCAATAAAATATCTACCTTCGACGTGTTCGAGCCAAACCAGGTGCACAGCTAAGCCTGCTATTCTTCTTCTTCTTATCGTATCGATGGCGTAAGGTACTCGCTTATTGTTGCCCAAGGTACACCAGAAAAGGAATGGTACGTCTTGAGGGGAGGCTCCTTTCGTCAACACCGGCCTGCAGCCTGCTCTATAAAAAAAGTTCTTACTGAGGTGTCGTTCCAGGAGCGTCGCGATGCGTACGAGAGACGCGCGCAGGAGTCGCGGCACGTCGAGGCCGCGTGGTCCGAACTCAGTCATCTGCTGGCGCAATTACATGACAAGATGGAGTTCGCCGCCAACACCATCCGGTAAACATTCAATCTACTCTCTCTCTCTCTCTCTCATTTGCTTTACAAAGACAGAGTCTAGCTCAGTTCTAAGAGCGGCAGCCCGGGAGTGGCAACAGATGCTGGTTCGAATAAAGTCATATTAAAGGAAACTTTCTTTGTATTATTGTTCGATCGATGAATCAATCATACTAACAATGTAGTGGAGTACATTTACAAAAAAAATATTAATATCATGGTAAAATATAAACAAAGAGAAACTGTTGACTTAATCCACAATATTCTAAACTATGCCCAAGTTCAGTAACTTGGGCATAGTTTATTAGTTTTAGAGCAGTCTCTATGCAGTTCTATTTTAATTCACACATTACACTTATTTTCGAATATTGTGCATAATTTTACATATTTCTTTTACTGTATACATTTACTTTCAACTGGACTGGGTTAAACCAAGGCAAAATGACGAGGTGGAATATAATAAAGAAATCAAAAACAAAAATATTTTAAAAATAAACAGATGATTTCTACCACTACTCTACCCAAATGTGTTATATAAGGTTATAAACAAAAAATTAACCTTGAACGAAGCAGTACATTCTTACTTACTAGTAAGTTTACTTTGTGGAGACGGGAATTAACCCTGTTTTTCAGGATAAAACGGGAGGAACAACCAATGTAACTTGACAACGTTTTAAGCATATCTTTCTCGACTGTGTTTATTATGTATATTTGATATATTGTTGTATGTAGTTGCACGAATTGCGGCCGACGGCACAAGAGGGTCTTAACCGACCGACCGTGCTACGCTGCGAGGTACTGCGTGCAATGCAAGATACGGCACTCCGCGAAAGAGGTAACCTCACATACACTATACTATAACAATAAACAATATTATCATAATTTGTCCGCAGCCGCCTGGAATACGCATCGCAGGTCTGGAGCCCCCAACACCTTACCTACATATCGCGTATTGAAAATGTGCAAAAAAGATTATTAAGTTTTTATGTTTTCGAACTAAGGTGCAGTACGAGTCAAACCGGTATCTTGATAGACGTAAGAAACATCATGTTTTGCCACTACAAGTTCGACGACGTCAGATAGCACACTGAGGGTCCTATTCTAGAACTCTTCTCAATGCTCAAGTCAGGATTTGATTCGAACCATACGGTTTAATGCACTCGAAATCATACTCAAGTCCCTGCCATTAGGGCCGTATTTCCAGTTATGTGTTTCAATTGCAATCATGCCTTGAGCATTGAGTAGAGTTCTACAATACGACCCCTAGTATTTTTGCGAAAAACTGCTACTGGTGCCGCGGACTCCCCGGAACTTGTGTCCAAGATTTCTCTTAGAGCCTCTACAAAGTCCTTTAGGTTTAATTCACTTTAGTGCGTACATATGGCATCTTCGAATTTTCGGCGGAATGCATATCTCTTACGTGCGAGTAATAGCTTCAATGAATGTCGAATCAGGTGGATATTGACCTTTTTAACACAAGTGTTGCATCGGTGAAGCGTCTTGTTAGTAAAGTCTGTTCCAATCCATTTTGAACAAACAGTAAACAAACCTGTTTGGTTAAAATTCTAAAGCAATCACTCAATAAATCGAAGAAGTAACACTTTGATGACTTTTTCTGTCAATATTTATTTTAATAGCATCGTAAAGTCGTATTTGAAAAATGGTTGTCCAAAAGTGAGGTTATTATTCATCTATAATTCTATGATATTATCTGGCGGAACCGCCAGCTAATTGCTACTTACCGCCTAGTAGCAATGTCAGCATTACTGTGTTCCGGTTTTGGAGTGTAAGAAGGGTGCTGGTGAAATTACAGGCACATGGGACTTGTCAACTTATGTCTCAGGGTGACGGGCGCAGTGACAGTGCCCCTAAGATCTTTGCGATTTAAAGCCCCGATTGGCACCGCAATTGTTATGGACAGGCGTGTAGTTTACCATCAGGCGCACGACTTATGCGTCCCGTTACTTGATATTATAAATAAAACGCACTTCTCCCCTGAAATATCGAAGTGTCTATGAATGACGCTATTCACTTTGCATTAAGTGGTTCCGTTTGCCAGTTGGAATATCTATTTGTACTGTTCAGGGCGACATCTGGGCGGAGTCATCCATGATGGGCCTACTAGTGATGTACTACGCGTGCATGGACGGCGCTGTGTATCAGATCACACAGTGGGCCAGCTGCCAGGTAATACTTTATAGTACTTGTTACGAGGGCGGTAAGTAGGTAATTTCGAATAAAGGGGCATTAATGGCCCGAATGTTAGCAATTGTTTTTCCGCCTGTGTGGCATACAAAGTTTGTTATTCCACTTGCGAGAAACTATTAAAAAATGAATAATGAATGAAGAAAATGTTATAGAATGAGTTTTTTTTTGTCGTTTTTCTTTTACTTTACATACTAATGAAACTAAAAACTTTAAAATGTATGTATGCCATGGTATCTATAAAAATGTATGTACCTTATAAAAATGATAAATGAAATAAAGCAGACGGTTTTTATATTAGTTTTATTAAATATTAATATAATATTTAAATCTAGAAACCCACTGCTTTTTAGGATCGAGGCAAGCTGGCATTTTGTCAAAGCGTAAAAATTAAAAAATAATAGCCGATGTTGCGCACGAGTTTCGACCACATTCCGTCATGTTATTACGGGTTGGGAAGTTCACACATTTTTCAACAGTTGTGAACCTTCTTTGACATGCACGTTTAATCACAGAGAAGTATTGCGGATGGACAAAACGGACTACAAAATGCCTGTTGTTTTTATAAAATTTTTAAGACAAACCAGATTATTTCACCTAAAAGTGATTTTGTATTTGGCAGAAAAAGAACCTGAAGCAGCTGCGGCCTGATTGCCACGTAGTGCAGTACCGCATAGTCCTCGGAAACAAGGCCGCCGGTGCAGATCTGCAGCGACCCAGCACTGGGTAACCACAATACATTGCAGTACTGCGCATAAAATTGCCTCACTTGTATTGAAAACAACTACATCACTAGTATCGCGTCAATTCTCTAAGTAAGGCCCGAGGCCCTTTAGCAGCACGCTAAGGGAGACTTCGGCATCCCTACATGCAAGCGTATCAGTATCCTTAGGCATATCATGGCGTCTTTAAGCATACTCTGCCTGCCTCAACTGGCCCCGCACACACGCAGTCGCGTTCGACGTCCGAAAGCCTGCCGAAGGATCCCGAACGCTGCCGAGGTATTCCGGCTGGGTATCCCTATAGTCTGTCTCTTTTGAAGACTGAGTAAAACGACAGTTTACTGCGTAAAAGCAGAGAACAAATAAGTAATGGAACGGACACTGTCCGCCCCTTCTTAGCTTTAGACACCGCACCACGCCCCGCACATTGACGGAACGAGAACAAGGCTGTCGGCGAGCCGTTTTCGCGCTAAGACGGCTTTGATGTTTGAATATATGTAGTTAATATATTATAACATCATTTTATGTTACTATTTATAATAGTCGTGAATTGTGCTATGTACGGCTGTTTATAATCATCTAAACGGGATAAAGAGAGGAGTTTCTTTCGTTTTTTGAAAGATGAAACGAAGAAAGTAAAAAAGTTATGTCTGAGACTCATTCAGTTATTGTTTTCTTTAGTGCAGAGTAATATATGATACAGATTTATTATACCAATATAATAAGACGCCATAACTTCGTGAGCTAGACAAGGGTTCTAGAATTTTCAATTTGTATTGCCGATAAATATTACGTAGTGAATATACCTAATTATTAACGAGGTAATGATAAAGTTGGACACGCAATTTCAAATAATTTGGTTACCTTACTTAAAGGTACCTGTGCAAAATATAACATTTTAAGTTATTTTTAATATATTTTTTAAACAAATCTTCAATATTATTCTAGTTAGTGAATTAATAAAAAATGTACTATTATATCGATATAAATACGTAATGAACATGTGTAATTATTAGGATTCTATAATAGAATTATAGATAACACATTCGCGTTAGGATTTTCGTTATGTTGCCGCTCTAACCACGTAACGTAATAGTACGAGCAAGTGATAAGTAGGTAACCCTGCCACTTCACGCACACATTCGCGCGTGTGCAGATAGTACCTTGCTGTATGTAGTAGTAGTAGGTAAATAATTTTCGACCATTGTATGGAGTGTCCGGGGTGTGGTAAAAGTGTTACCCGCTTGCAAGCAGCTAATTATTGCAGTCTATAAATATTATATTGAACGCCGACCGACCGTTGGTTACACTTATGAAGTAAATAGGCGAAATTGTTTCATTTGAACCATCATCGGGCCATTATACATCCACTTGCAAAAAGCACGTTCATTTGAATCGTTGATTTTTAAAAATTCATTCACACGTACTCTAAATTTAGAAGTTTGTGAATTAAAATACAAATAGGAGACATATTTAAAAAAATTTCATTTTAATTTATTATATATGACTAAAAATTTATTACAATAACACAATTCGTAATCATTGGAACGTCCATTCACAACTCAGCCATTTTTGGTATAATTTTACCTACTTTCACAATCTATCGATAAAACTGTCGACAACTTCTACATGACTATTTCAAATTTTACGAAACTGGCAACCCTACAAATGTCATTTTACTCCATCTTCGAAAAAGACAGATTTCAAGATTACCGCTGCTTCGTTTTTGTAGCTACGACCATAATCATTAAAATTTCAAGTATAATGTCATACGGTTAAGGTATATTATTATTAGTCACATAAAAATACAATTAATAATATACACACATTCGTGTTTGAGTGATTCATTGTAACATTTGAATTCATGTTTTCGCTCCAGACACGATCCGAACCTGGAAGAATTCCTGAACAACCTGTACAACAAGTCTGGTGTCACGAAGCCGCCGCCAGACGACAAGAAACGCCGCACCAAGAAAACTAAGCCTTAGCTCTTAAAACACAGCATACTTATTTGAATACGCACTATCCGGTTGACCATGCGACTTAGGGAATACATGTTTTTATTAATACGAGTCTAATAGTGTCCTCTAATTAATAAAAACAAATGAAAACAAGGTTTTAAAGAAAACCTACAATACAATAAGTAACAAATCGTAACCTTATTCATAAACATTTTTTTTTCTATATATTCCACAGAAGTCCAGTGTTTTCTAGACATTCCATTCCCGACAAGTTCCTTTGGTTGTCATGATTTGTCCACATTGCAATTTTTTTTTTCGGTCGCGTACACAATTTTATTTGTAAAATACTAGGAACCTCGCAGGAGTATATTACTAACATCATAATTCATCACAACAACTTTTTACAACACATTATGCATGGGTAGTTCATGAACTAACAACTATTAGGAATGAGTTCCTGACACACTGACCGAAACGAACTAGTTCCCTGTGTACAGTCTTTTTATTAACCTGTCTTTTTAGTTCAGTCGGAATGGGACCTGTTTGCGGAGCCACAGACGCGAGGAGATCTTATTAGTTCACCTGTCTTTTTAATTCTTTCAGTTCACAGACGCGAGGCGAGATGAAGCGAACGAGACAATTAATGGACTGTCATGGAAGGCCATGAGAGCTGGCAAAGGTTCAATCGTGCATCTCACTCGAACTTGTACTAAAGGTAGTACAAGTTCGAGTGAGATGCACGATTGAACCTTTGCCAGCTCGTGTCATCAACATAATAATAAAATAGTAAAGAGGGAAAACTATAAAACATTCCTATTTGAATGTAAAAGGCGTTCGTACGAATAATTTTATTCCGTATCCATCAAAGGCCGAAACGGTTCCTTCAGGGGAACACCCTTCCAATTCTCACATCCCACTGAACTAAGGAGCTAAAAGACCTAAAAGACCGAATTAGTTCATTTATTCGAACGAACTAATTGGGATCGTTTCCTCTAAAGACCGAGCAGGCACAAGCCTACAACACATGCAAAATGTACAAAACATGATTGCTGTATGAATTATTACTCGCCTTATGAATTATTTTTAAAGGCAAGTCCATACAGCCAATTTGAGTGAGAGGTTACTGACGATTAAGTAAACGCAGAGACTGGGATTGTTCGACATTACTTACGTACTTTAAAATATTACTGACATAAGTTTTTTATTAAATTAATTAACAATTTTTATTCATACACTGATATTTAGCCCAAGGAATATACAAAATATTTTCCACGATTGTACATTATGACCAATTGCCGAAAGTGACAGATTAGAGAAAATGACGAATTAAAGATTTAGATGGCATTGACGAATTGTTGAAGTTGATCAGTTGACGAAAATAATCTTTTAAGTTTTTGTTGTCTATCTGACACTTTTTAGGTCTGTATTTGTTAGTAAGATAGTTTAAACGTGCATTTGTCCTCTCCGACGACCTCACCCAGCACTCCTTTGTTTTGTTCAGAGTTTAAATACATTTATTTTTTGTACGAAAGTAAATGTGTAAAAAATGTGTGATAAATTATTGATAGTCATGGAACATGAGTTGTTGTTTATGATGTTAGTCCTGCGAGGTTGTTAATATTGTACAAATAACCTTGTATTTCGACTCATCCGTAGTATCTATGTGATCTATGTGTAAGACTACTTGTTCTCAAGACATAGTACGATTCGTTCGTTCTTCTTCGCTGTGGATGTCAGATCGACAGTCGCTCGATTTTATACTTCCGAAATGAAATGAGATATATGAATTCTCAAAACACCTTTACGTAGGCATTAGTTTGAATAAGGAAATTATTCTCGTAACGTACTTATTCTCTTTTCGCAATATAATCACATCGGACTCTGTTCTTCGGATGAATCGATTTGTTTTTATTTTTCTCAAACAAACCACGGGTTCCATGGTCAGTCAGCTGTAGTGTTGGGTTATGTGAAAATTTCAATTTTCAAAAAAATCATATTTTTCAGAAAAATAAACATTTCCGGACATTTATATTTGTAATCCGGAAATTTATATTTATAATCCGGATATTTTTCCATATTTTTCCACTTTTGACGTTGACACCTGTCAAAAATTGAAGTTACTGAATGAATACGATGGAACCATTATGAAGGCTTATTTCGCTGTTGCCCAATCATTTCAAATCTAATTTCTCTCTAACTTACTTTTAACTATACAATTTCATTTTATGATTCACGATACATAAAACTTCAAAAGATATTATTTCAAAACGAAAAACATATCAGGAGCCTTCGAATTGTCTTTTTCCTATTTTTCTGAAATTATTCTAGAAAAATTTCCACACTAGTCAGCTGCGATCATGGGGCCTGTAAAGATCTCATAGACGTTTAAAATATGTTGAAACGAGTAACCAATAGTTTCCCTTTAGCAGTTTCTGTACAGCCATTGTACTATTGTAAAAACATGTATTCTATAAAACCGCACCGCTAATCTGTGAGAACATGCCTTTAAAATAGAAAAAAAAGATAATTATTGAAAGATTGACTAATTAGAAGCTAAATAGATAAATAAATACAATATTATACAGTTCTACTAAGCAAGGAAACGTCTGAACAGGCACTTGAACGAGTTAAGTAAGAGATTAGATATTGGTCGTTTTTAAATCGCTGACGTAGTGCTTCGTGAATCAAGAGTAAGTTGATTGACTAATTAACGTTTAATTTGTTAACTAAATCTGTTTGGACAAATTTGGAATAGATTATGAAATGTTCAATTGCATTTTCAAATCTGAACATGGTGAGTAAACAATGAAAGATTCTTTTGTGGAATTATGTTATAAAAATTAATGCACGAAATGTTTGATGTTAAATCAAGCTAATCTTGTTAATTTTTGTTAAATTTTTGACAAAAACGCTTGTCCTCCGAGTGTTTAAATAATAACAGTTTAATATGTAACGAAAAAAAATTTTTTTTTTTAATTTTTAATGTCGCGTAGTTAACGCTTGTTCAGTTAATTTTAATTAGTATTTGTGTCGAATTGTCGCTGATTAACTTTTTATATTGTGCTGGATAGAACTTGTCGGGGTTGTTTTCCGTTTAGTTCTACAAACTTTACACCCTGTAGGGACACGTACAGACGGGCGGACACTTCGTCCATCTATTTCTATAAGCAATAATTATTGTTGAATTTAAATTGTGTACAAATAATGTAGTAGCGAGTAAAGAGATTTTTAATAAAAGTCCGAGAGAGGCGAATTTAAAAGAGCTAAGTGTATCGGAAGGATGGCCCGTAGGCACAGACGGAATAACCTAACATGTCTTTGGAGACTGTCTTTCAATTCTTCGTTACAATAGATTAGACCTAGTGAGCAAAGAGATACGATTTTTTTTAACGCGAACGAATAATACTTTCTTGACAATGACAAACGTTTGAGAATAATTATTAAGACAAAGATCGAAAACTTAGAAAACATTCCTTCGATCCGGCTGGATTCGAACCAACGTCTTCCAGCAAACCGTGCCAGACGCTATGCCAACTAGCCACGGAACGAACTAACTGACCTTACGAATTTTTCTATTTTCCTCTTTTAGTTTTTAACGACTTTTTAAAAACCAATATTACTACTTGACAGCAGAAATAGGTGGTAATATTTCCCAGGACGAACTCTTTCACATGGAGCTCTACTGCTGCAACAATATACCCGTTTACAGTTATTGCAAAACCCTATATAATACCGGATAATTGCCATAAGGTCGGTGAAACCGTTTCTTGAAAATTCACGTATAATTTATACCGGTATTATCTGAAGTACCGGTGCTGTAGCAAGTTTAGTGGTACTGGTTCCTGAAAATGCAGATATTCCAAGTCCGGATACGAACGTAACTCATTGGATAGAATCATTTTGACATGAGCTAGAGATGTAAGATGCTAAACCAATAATACGTTGCCGTGAAAAACTTACCTACTCCGAGTTACCTCTCAACAACAAAGAACAAAGTTAGTTACGAGTAAATGTGATGATACCTACATTTCGCGCGCTAGGTCTTACTCTTCGTGCTTGCCCTGTGTACCATAGCTAACAAAAAACATAGCCTATGGGAGAGTAAAAAGAATTAAGTCTTATGTAAAAGAAATTTTACTTTTAAGAGCAGCGGGCTGCTTTTTCTTGAATTAAAAAAATACTCTTTTTACATTTAGAAATCTACGTTTTCATCTACGCCGCATAGTACAATTTGTTTGCATTCATGAAAATTAGAATTAATAGAATTAATCATGGTTTCGTTTTTGCAAAATGTAGAGAATTTGAATATATCATTAACACGCAAGGTGCCAAAGGTACCACCAATGGTATTATATGACCATAATAACTAGTGGAAACATCAATCAAGTCACACTTCGTTTGAACAGGACGCAAAAGCGTGAAACGGTAGCTGGTGAGTGGCGATCTAAAATGTTCTTGATCATTATTAAAATTTTAATATCAAGTCCTTGAACTTTTGTGTCATGAATATGTCACCTAAAAGACTAAACTTGTGTGTTTCAAAGGAACGTTTAGTCGGTCGTCGGACCTAGTGTTCACTACCTAATTTCCGTGGCAATTTTTGTTATTTAAATAGTCAAGTATATTATCGTGTAATTATTGAATATTTCACGATATAATACTCGAATATTAAATAATATGACACGATAAAAATCGATACTACTTAAATACTAAAAACTCCATGGAAATTAGATTGTAAGCACTAGCCCGAGAAAGACTGTAGTATGATATTCGAACTCTCTACAATTGGCAATTTATTTGAAAAAAACTGTGTTCATGGGTTGGCAACTTAATACGATTGTCACTCGACAGCGGTCACTGTAAAATTGTCAACTCATAACACCTATTTAACAGGAACTACTGAATTTTAACACTATTTGTTCAATGTATTGTAAGAGTGGCAAAAACAAGACCTAACATAAATGACGGAAGTTAATCTGCGGAGCTGTCACGTCGGATTCTGAGACTGCCATTTTCAGTGCAGAGACTCGCTTATCAATACCAGACGCATTTTCGCCGTACACGCAGCCGGCCTTGACGAACTCCATTGGCGCACTCTAACAATATTACGACTCCTGTGCGCTGACTCAAGTTGAAAGTATAGAATTTTATACATAACGAAATTTAGGTATTCTGTGGCAAAGAAAAAACTGGCCGGCACTGAAAATGTTAATGCCTCACGCTTTCAGGGTATCTAGCATGAGTTTACAATAACAGTTGTCGCTAGCGAAAGCGCGCAATAATTCAACAAGGTGTTACTTCTTATGACCGCTAGGGGTGCTGTACGCGGTTCTTAGCGACAACTGTCTGTAAACTCATGATAGAGGCACTGAAGACTAAAAATAAAGATACGTATTATAAGTTGTTGTAACAAAGGTGATTAAACTTGAGCGTTTCCAATGTACTATCGTCTCACTGCCCTCGAGATTATCGTTTTAATAAATGTTAGGCTAGTGAAGAGTCGCGGGTTCACTCGTAGCATTTGTGCTTCATGTGTGAATAAATATGTGGAAACATTTTTACTACTTTTATTTTTCAAATGCTAATCCTAAAGCCCAAAGGCATAAAAGCCCGAGTTTACTTCTCAAACTATAGCAATTTAACCACTTATTACCAATGATATTATTCCACCATTCGGACTAATTACAATCAACTCAATCGCGCCATCTAGTGCCATTTTTCAATTCAACTTGATGAAAATGGCCGACGTTAATCAGGAACAATTTTAAGATTTTATTTTGACAGACATTGGCCCAAGCTAAAGGAAATTCGAAAAAAGTAATTAATTAATACTAGGAGGTTATATCTATATATGTTTGTATATATATATATATATATATACACAAATGGAACACCTCTTTCCGACTGTTGGTAATTATAGCGAAGCACGCAATTATTTAGTTTTTGCTTAAACGGACCATCGTTAAATGTCATGTTCATGCACAAGTTAAATTGACTCCTCACCATTTATTTATAATATAGGTCTCAAACTAACAGCTTTCCTATATAGAAATAAATCTCGTTAACAAAAGGAAAAATTAAACTATGAATCGATTATCTCTTAGCATTTATTCAAGATCAAGATCTTAAGCCTCCATTCCTTCAGACTGACTCCCTTTGTCGGTGACGATGCAGTTCTCGTAGTTCCACTTCGGGAACATGCGCTTGTACAGGCTGAGAAGCACCGTGTCTTGAGACTTGAGCTGCCCGTCGAACACGCATTTCATATGGCCATGAGTACCTGATAATGGTCATAATTATTTTTGTTATATTACGCTACCCGGTAAACACATTTTCACGAAAAAAACGGTTTATCCATGCTCTGTTAAAGACGAAAACTACAAGACTTTTTGTCCATAAGAGCGATACCACACGGGCGCTGCTGGTGCGTTGCATTGTCGTAACGCTGTGATTTCACCGCACCGAGTACCACACGAGCAATGCGGTGTCGCAACGTAACGCCGCTTACGTGAGCACTACAGCGCCCCTCCCCGCTTCGTCTCTTGGTCAGTTGCCCGATGCTCACGTGTTCCGCGGCGACGGAATGGCGTTTCAACGCACCGTATGGCATATTGTTTTGATTTATATATACATATAATACAATGCAGCATCACCGCTCAGGCGTCGCAATGCGTACGCAGCGCGTCGTGTGGCATCGCTCGAAGAGGTATTTCTAGTAAAAATACTATGGCAAAAAGATTTGGGTGTGAATTTAAATTATAATAAGGTTGATTAGTTACCAAGAGTTCATGTCAGACTCAAAGTCGATGGTCTTTAAGTCGGTTAAAATAGCTTCAAAAAGAAACCTCTTTTTGAAGCTATTTTAACCGACTTCAAAAAAGGAGGGGGTTCTCAATTCGTCTGGTTCTTTAATTGTATGTATGTACATATTGGTATGTTACGGGATAACTAAAAAAATCTGTGAACCGATTTTGATAATTCTTTTTTTTGGTGGAAAGTACCTGAGTAGTGGTCCCTTTAAATTCGAAGAAAATATTCCACCTCTAAGGGTGGCAAAGTAGGGGATGAATCCGGCTTAGCGCACTTTCCGGTAACCGATTTGAATAAAACTTGGATGTAATTACACGAACTTTTGAGGTCGGTTTTGTTAGTACTCTGTACTGATAAGTTTAAAGACCGTCATACTGAGTAGAACAAAAAAGTTTTATTTAACGTTCTTCGTTCTTACCTAAGGGCTCCTTGATATGTCCAGTGCGGCCGTATTTCGTCCTCAACTTGCAAGGTTTGAAGTATATCACGTCATCTCGATTGAAGAACATGAACCTTATCACGGCTGACTTTTTATGCACCTGGAATATGAAAAATATGACGTGACTGTCAGGGTGGCTGGTCGCCTGTCGCATCTGGCACTGAGGGTATATTCAAGAATTGCTACCTTTTCTAAATAATTGCTACCTTTGATATATTCTGAGAAATCAAAAATATATTGAAAATTGAAAACCGATTGAAAATTTTACGCAGAAGTGTCTGATCAAATAAAAAACAAAAGTTTTTAGTGCTTTATTGCCATAATATAAAGGGCAGGCGTTGGTACTTCTTCGTAAAATTTTCAATCGTTTATATTTTTTTTAACTAATGTAGATAGGAACCATATACCTTTAATTCGTGAAGGTAGCAATTATTGATAATACATACTTCTGGAAAATCTGCTTTCTTCATGCTGAAAAACGTGGCAACCAGCGAACCTGACGTCAGAATGGCTGGTCATTTTTTTATTTATTTCTCAGAATATATCAAAGGTAGCAATTATTTAGAAAAGGTAACAAATAGGTAGCAATTCTTGAATATACACTCAGTGCCAGATGCGACAGGCGACGAGCCATCCTGACGGTCACAAATATGACATAATACGGTACTATTTCCTAAAGTCCAAGCTTCAGAGACTATTACAGGCTTAGAATAATAACGCATAGAAACCTAGCCCGCACACGCTAAGTGAGGCAAGTTAGAGGGTTCCAAACGCGCACCCAGGAGCGCGCGGGCTGTTAGTGCTCAAGGTCATATTGCACCGCGAACAGCTCCAAAATT